TGAAACTAATAAAAGAAAAGTTTCTTTTTTATGCACGACAACCCATATCCTTGGTCAAGTTGCTAACTCAGAGGTTCCCAAACCTTCTGTGTCAGTGTACTCATTGTGTTTAGTACGTTTTTTTCACAGCCCTCCCCTGCCAATAGAAATACCGATCAGTTCTATTCTTGAAATACTTTTGTCTAAACAATTTAATGTGTATTTACTTTCTAACACCTTACTGGCCATTTGAAAAAAATTATACACATAAATCGAAAAAAACTGCATTTTTGTTTCATTCTTAAATAGCCATGATTACTTCCTAGTGATACATATACACCTTTTGGGCACTGCACAGTCTTTCAAACCTTAGAATTGTTTAGGATGCTGTCTCCCTCACTTTCTGTTCATTGTGGCACTTGTTTTTTATCACAGGACTGTAGAAAGCCCAGCTTTGCAAAGAGGACATCACTGAATGAGTATAGCATGATTTCTTATTGAAATTGTGAATTACCTTGAGCTAGTAGTTCATGTGGTATCCAGTAAACATCGAGTATTGCTGTTTTTCCCTTAAAAATGTAAAAATATTCCACAGTGTCCCTGTGAGTTGCTTGGGGCACCCTGGAGTGACTTGGTGAACAGTTTGGGAACTGTGGGACTAACTGTAAGAATGTAAAACTTAGCGTAAGTTTCATAGGCCTTACAAAACTATATAAAAATCTTAGCACTTACTGTGCCAAATTGCAGGAAACATGTAAATATTGCAGGACTTCAGAAGAGACTGGAATAGTACGTCTTCAGGGAGAAATAAGATTAAGTTTACCTTTTAAAAAAGTATTATTTTGCTCGGTGGCAGTGAGAATGATATTCTACATGCATATTTTTCAGCAAATTCTTGAAATAATTAAATATACTTGCAGTCTTCAATGTATCTCCTTCCATGATTTCATGAACTCACTTTGTTAATGTTTTCACCCCCACCATGCCACCACATGTGATTATGTCTGACAAATATGTAACTCTGATAGCAGTGTAAATTTGCATTTGGATATGGGCTTTCCAACTGCTTATAAATATGTGAATGCTAGCACAATTCATTGTACTGTTTAATTGTCGAATTTTGTGTTTTGCCGTATAGGGCTGTCATCAGTGATCCAGAACAAAATGTAACCACTGGGAAACAAGAAAGTGCTTGTATTCTTCCAGTTTCCAACATAACACCTCTTCGATTAAGGAAAAGAACACTACATGAAACAAAGTAAGAAGGGTTTACTTATGTAAAATGAGGATGTAATATGTTATAAATGTATTTTTCAATTGTAATTTTGTGTTCAACTGAAAAGATTTG